CAAGATTGGTACGGAAAGAATGGAAACGAAGACCGACAGCAGTTCTTGCTCGTTGTGAACCAGACTCGCTGGCGTTGTCCCGCGGAAGCTGTCCATGTCAGGCAGACGGTAGGTGCCCCACATCGGCCGCTGTCAGCATTCGGCTAATTAAGTACATCGGTTGCTGGGCATCGTGCCCCTGTCTTCAGGATCCATGTCGGGCGTCCGAATCGACGGTCTGCCGTGGTTCGCACGCCGCGTCCCAGCCTCCAGGCCTCCAGGGGAGGCGGAGCAGCGACAAAAAGAGGGGACGCTCTCCAGGGGGAGCGGCAGAGAGAAGGAGAGGAAGCGCGAGACTGACAGGACTCCAGGGGCGGGGCCTGGTAGACGTGCTCAGACGCCCGTCCTTCTCATCGCCTTCCTCCTCGTTGTCCTCCCGACGCTCATGCGCGATTCACCTCCTGTACTCTCTCGCCATCCACTCTGCAGCCGCTGGCGCAGTGCGGTGTGTCCATATTAGAGCAGGGATTGTGACGCACATTCGCGGACTTTTTCCTGAGGTTCGTCGGCTCTTCCAGCCAGGCTCTGCGGGGAGGGGCACTTGCTGGACGAGCGCTCAGCGCCAACGGGTCAAACGTGCAGGGATGAAGCTCGAGTGGATCCAAGCTCAACTATACATTCAGTCGAAGCTTGGAGTGTAGAGCGATTCCGCGATTGTCTCCGCCCGTTGCGCCATTGGCTTGCCAAGATTTGCCACTCAAGCTGCCCAGTCCCCATCTCAGGTTTGGTGTCCGTGGCTTGACCAACCCGATGCAAGTGCTGGTAGCAGTTCGCGTTCAGCGTCCATGTCTCGTCGAGAGGGCCCCTCAAAGTCTGCCCATCGCATTCTCTCTGCTGCTTGTCTGGTGAAATGAGTGGGTTTCACTCCTCCGATTTCGCAATGTCTTAGTGGGAGCGACCCCTCTGTCTTCTGGATGATGGATTTCCATTTGGTCTCTTGTATGTTGCGCGCGACATAACTAGACCATGCATGGGCTGCCAGAGTTGGCAGGGGCGGGGGCTTGGCTTGTCGACTGCCCCCCTCGCAACTCAAGATCAGCCCGCTCCGTGTTCAGTCAAGCTGAATACACACACTGATCGAATGAATAGCTGAGCACATGCACCAGCGGTTTGTCATGCGTGAGTCAGTACCTCAGCCAGTGACATGCGGGATGGGAGTGATCGGCGAAGCACGCGGGCAGGCGAGTTTTCAGCAGGCAGGTATGCAGGTAATCCAGCAGGCCATCAAGAGTGCAAGCACGCACGCAAGCAACATTTGTCTTTAGATTGTGCCCTCTTAGGGCCAATCGTCCGTCGTCCGTCGCTCGTCTGTCGTGTCGTGCCACTGGGCTCCGTCTGCGCTGATAAAAAATTAGCTTGGCGAAGGACCCAACCATATGCAGTTGTGAATGTCGCAATTGTGCCGGGTGGTGGCGGACGCATGCAGGCGGTGCCATTGGGACCTTCGGTGGAGCTCCCTATGGGGCCACGAAGCGCTGCACTGGGTGGGTGAGACGCGGTCAGCAAGGGTTGTGCTGCGTGGTGGCGGACGCATGCGAGCGGTGCCACCGGGACCTTCGGTGGAGCTCCCTATGGGGCCACGAAGCGCTGTACTGGGTGGGTGAAACGCAGGCAGGGGGCAAGGGCTGTGCAGGGTGGCGGCGGACGCATGCGGGCGGTGCCGCTGGGACCTTTGGTGGCCTATAGGGCTACGAAGCGCTGTTCTGGGTGGGTGAAGCGCAGGGAACAAGGGCTGTGCTGGGTGGTGGCGGACGCAAACGGGTAGTGCCACTGGGACCTTTGGTGGAGCCCCCTATGGGGCAAGGAAACGTGCGAGGGGTGTGCCAGAATGGGGTGTGGAACCGCATGACAGCGCAGCCACTGGGGCCTTCGGTGGAGCTCCCTATGGACCTATGGAGCCACGAAACGTGTGAGGGGTGTGCCGAAATGGGGGGTGGAACCGCATGCGAGCGCAGCCACTGCGGCGTTCGGTGGAGCTCCCTATGGGGCCACGAGACGTGTGAAGGGCGTGCCGAAAAAGGGGGTGGAACCGCATGCGAGCGCAGCCACTCGGGCCTTCGGTGGAGCTCCCTATGGGGCCACGAACCGTGTGAGGGGTGTGCCGAAATGGGGGGGGAACCACATGCGGGGGCAGCCACTGGGGCGTTCGGGGGAGCTCCCCATGGAGCCACCCACGAAGCGTGTGAGGGGTGTGCCGAAATGGGGGGTGGAAGGAACCGCATGCGAGCGCAGCCACTGGAGCGTTCGGTGGAGCTCCCTATGGGGCCACGAAACGTGTGAGGGGTGTGCCAGAATGGGGGGTGGAACCGCATGCGGGCGCAGCCACTGGGGCCTTCGGTGGAGCTCCCTATGGGGCCACGAAACGTGTGAGGGGTGTGCCAGAATGGGGGGTGGAACCGCATGCGGGCGCAGCCACTGGGGCCTTCGGTGGAGCTCCCTATGGGGCCACGAAACGTGTGAGGGGTGTGCCAGAATGGGGGGTGGAACCGCATGCGGGCGCAGCCACTGGGGCCTTCGGTGGAGCTCCCTATGGGGCCACGAAACGTGTGAGGGGTGTGCCAGAATGGGGGGTGGAACCGCATGCGGGCGCAGCCACTGGGGCCTTCGGTGGAGCTCCCTATGGGGCCACGAAACGTGTGAGGGGTGTGCCAGAATGGGGGGTGGAACCGCATGCGGGCGCAGCCACTGGGGCCTTCGGTGGAGCTCCCTATGGGGCCACGAAACGTGTGAGGGGTGTGCCAGAATGGGGGGTGGAACCGCATGCGGGCGCAGCCACTGGGGCCTTCGGTGGAGCTCCCTATGGGGCCACGAAACGTGTGAGGGGTGTGCCAGAATGGGGGGTGGAACCGCATGCGGGCGCAGCCACTGGGGCCTTCGGTGGAGCTCCCTATGGGGCCACGAAACGTGTGAGGGGTGTGCCAGAATGGGGGGTGGAACCGCATGCGGGCGCAGCCACTGGGGCCTTCGGTGGAGCTCCCTATGGGGCCACGAAACGTGTGAGGGGTGTGCCAAAATGGGGGGTGGAACCGCATGCGGGCGCAGCCACTGGGGCCTTCGGTGGAGCTCCCTATGGGGCCACGAAACGTGTGAGGGGTGTGCCAGAATGGGTGTGGGAGGGGGAGGAGGGGGGAGGAGGGAGGGAGGAAGGAGGCGGGAACGCGGGGCACCGTCTCTTCAAAACGAGGACCCAACACCACAGGATGGTTGGGAACAAGTGTCCTCTAGGGCCATCGCCACAATCGCGGAAGCCTCGATCAGAACCCTCCGAGGTCGAGGGGGCAAGCCCGGCTTGCACTTGCCTGCGCGCATCAGAGACGAGCCCTCGAAGTCGTGGCTCCGCTATTCGTGTAAGCAATCGGCTGGCAGGATGCCGCAGCATCTTCTGCCGACGCGAGCCTTTTAGTTCCTTGGTTCTGTACTCGGCAGCGCTCGGCCGCGTGCGTTTCGTCTCGTCGAGGACCATCGAGGAGCATCTTGGACCATCTTGCGAGACATACGCGCGCGAAGCCGAAACGAGCACGGGGAAGGGACGTCCCAGCGATGGCAGGCGGGTGCACTTGAATCGTCGGCTGTTTCTGGAGGCCCACGCCGCTACGATGTGGCCAAGGTTACCCCCTTCGGCCCTCTTCCGTGGGGCCGCAGAGCCTGCGTACCGCTTCGAGCACAGCCTCGGAGCTGACGATCTTGGTGGACTCGCACGCGTCTCGCAGCCAGGACGCTGACATTCGTCGGCGAGCGAGGGGGGAAAGTGAGAAGGAGACGGTCCTCTCAGAAGGCGGCAGGGCTCCTCCGAAGCCCTCGCGCATCCCGAGGGAGGTCTCTGGTGTGTCCTGAGGCAGGGCCTCGAAGACTTCCCCGGGAGGCCGGGGGACTTCCGAGCCGTCCGAGGAGGCCCGCCCCTCCTCGGCTCCCCCCCGGGGGCTCGCCGCCGAACTCTGGGTTCAGCAGGGGGCCACGTGCGAGCCCTGCCCCCTGCCCTCCACGGGTTCTGGGGGGGAGGGCGGGGCTCACTCCGCTCGGGAGCTCCCGAGAGGAGGGAGCCCCGCCCTCCCCCTCAGAGATCGTGGGGGGGGCAGGGGGCAGGGTTCGCAGGCGGCCCCCTATTCAGGCGGGGGCCCCTGGTGTCCGGGCCCCTCCTTGGCGCCGGGTCGGGGGGGCCGGGCCTGCCCGTGGCGGGGGCCAGCCGTGGAGGAGGGGGAGGAGGAGGAGGAGGAGGAGGAGGAGGAGGAGGAGGAGGAGGAGGAGGAGGAGGAGGAGGAGGAGGAGGATGGAGGAGGAGGAGGAGTAGGAGGACGAGGAGGAGGAGGAGGAGGAGGGCCCAGAGCCCCCTCGCTCCTCATGCGGAGGAGGGCAGGGCACCCGTGCCTCTGCCCCTCGCCCGTGTTCCCCTTCCTTGGGGCCTCCTGGGAGGCCCTCCTCCTCCTCCTCCTCCTCTCGAGGTGCGCGGCGTGCCTCGGAGGTTCGGGGTTCTCGCTCGCTCTCAGCTTCAAGTCGGGCCTGTCCCTTTGCAGGGGAAATATTCCACAGTTGTCAACAAATGATACTGGGACGATGTTTTGATTATTTGCTTACTATGCTTGAACAGTTTTGGAGTTGTTGTTAGAACGCACCCCGTGGAGAGGTCCGGGCAGCAGCGGTATCGCTACCTTCGGTTTCTCAGCTCGTTCCGCGTTCCTGGTGGTGGCGCGGTCATTGTATTGAGCAGCTCCAGTGGTGCTGTCTTGCCTCCTGCGCAGAGTTGGCTGGAGGCCGAGGGCGACCTGCCTCTACACAGGATGCAGTGCAGCGACGTGCGACCAGGCATATGGTTTGTTTGTAGCCGCCCAACAATGTCTGTTTGCCCAGCGCTCTTGAAGTGCCATGTTCTGGGGTCTTGTTCGTATCACACTCCTGCGCTTCTCTCGTATGGGCAGTCTTCTGTCAGCCGCAGCACCGCCACTGCCGACTGCGATCTCAGAAAAAGGCTGCTCGGGAAAGGGAAATGGGAGGAGACGTAGCAGAAGTCGCAACCGGCGCCCGAGCTCGAGGACACCGGGAGGGGACCTGAGCTCCATGGCCTGCACGAAGACCAGGAGGGAACAAAAACACGCAGACACAACGAATTGTTCGATTGCCAGGACAGTATGGGAACATATGGGAAGTGTGGGGAAGACGAAAATCAAGAAAATATGAAACAATAGGGGAACCTTGGATTTGTGTGTGTTTATTCGTGTGTCCCTGGGTCCCTTCGGAAGAGGGAGATGGCCGGGTGCTCTGCAGCAGGTCCGCAGCAGATTTGCCGGCCCTGTGGCGACGCTTCGGGCACCGCCCCCAGAGGCCGTCACACAGTGGCACCTGTCGTCTCCGCCTCCCGAGGAGTTCTCGTGTGGGAGGCCGGCTCGGGGCTACCCCAGGCTTCTGCGGGGCAGCACTGGGGGTCTCTTGGGCGGTCGCGGGTCCCTCTTGGGCCGCCTTGGGGCCCAGTTGGACCGTCTGGGGGCCGCCTGGGGGGCCGCCTGGGGGCCGCCTGGGGGCCGTCTTGGGTCCCCCTGGAGGCCCTCTTGGGCCAGCTTGTGGCTCTCTTGGGGCCGTTCTGGGCCGTCAAGAGGTTTTTTTTGTGGGCTCTCCGTAGGCTGCGTTGTGCCGTCATAGACTTCAAGAGAAGCTTTCGTTGGCCGAAGGGCGCAGGGAGCGAAACACAGGTGAAAACTCAATGTGCAGATGTCAATGATTGTGGCCTCTCCAGGGCCTCGTCGAGAGCGTCTTGGGAGTGTCTTGGAGCTTGTTGGAGGCCTCTTAGGATGATCTGGGCGTTTCTGACGATCTCTTGGGCCCGTTTTGAAGCCAGTTTGGGCCATTTGGGCGGCGTTGGTAGCCTTTCTGGGCAATTTCTTGGGAGCCTTGGAAGAAGTTGCAGAGCCCCATGGGAGACATCGGACGCCCAGTGAGTCCGGAGGGGGGGGGGAGGATGAGGCGGCGATGCATGCGACTGGGAGCTGGGAGAGCGATTTTCCTCAGAATGCCAGGTACGATCTACCAGAGAGGCCTTGCCAGTCTACGGTGCGTCAACGTGCCATGGGGCACGGCGGCGGATGCGCAGAGCGAGAGGGAGATAGAGAGAGAGAGAGAGAGAGAGAGTGAGAGACCGAGAGGGAGGGAAATATGGGGGGTGAGTGGCGAGTGTGAGATAGAGAGAGAGAGAGAGATAGTTAGAGAGAGAGAGAGAGACAGACAGAGCCATACACAGGAAAAGAGACATATGAAAAGAGCTGGAGAGGGGGACGAAGAGGGGGATAAAGAGAGAAAGAGAGAGAGACAGAGACAGAGAGAGATGGAAAGTGACAGCTGGCTAGATCACCAGAGTGCCAGCGAGCCTGAATATGTTCGCACTCGTGTGTTCTGCTCTGTGGCAACGTAAAATAATCGAGTGCTTGGCAATGCTACATGCTACGATGACGATCGATTCAGCGCCGATCTCGACCGAGATACGATCATGCACGGGATACTATGTGCATTTACACATCGAATGTCGTCGTCGCCGCCATCCTATTGTGTTGGTCGCCGCTAATGTTTATCTTCATTGTGTGGTTGGATGTTTCGTACCCCTGACTGGCAAGAGGGCATTCGGGCAACGAACCACCACAATGCGGCAACGGCCGCCGTTCAGGAATGGGTTGCTGAGGAAATCGGGCCCTGCGCCCCCTTGTAAATAAAAGGCAATTTGCTCATTCTCAATTTCTCGGAGGTCAGGGCCCGAGATCGAAGTGAAACGCGAGGTGCCTCAACCGAGAAAGCGTTTCGTTTCGTGCGCGACGCGCGTGCGGGCGAGGCGCGGCGAAGTCGCGCGAGGTTCTCCACTGGCCAGGGCCAAGTCAGAAGCAAATGAGTCGCTGGCCAGAGGCCAGGGTGGTCCCGTTGGTTGTCCCGTTGGTTGTCCCGATAGATCGACAGTGAATTCGACAGACGGATAGATAGTGCAGTCGGTAGATCGACAGTGGTACCGATATACAGATACAGATAGATAGGTGTGTATACATATATGTATATTGAGGTATACACATATATATATATAGATATAACTAAAGTTTGATCTCTCTCTCTATATATATATATATATATATGTAAACAGATGTATAGAGTGGCGTTGGCGAAATGCTTCGTCCGCTGCAAGTCACAGATGACGCCCCCGCGAACCTCCTTACCACTCGAAGGGTGGTCTACGAGGTGTATGCCGTGTTTCCTCCCCGCTGGAGGAGGGGAATGAGAGCAGGATCGGAGCAGGAGCAGGAGAAGAGGGGGGAGGAGGAAAGCAGGAGTTTTTCCTTGTCCGACCCGCCGCCGCCGTCGCCGCCGCCGCCGTCGCCGCCGCCGCCGTCGCCGCCGCCGCAGACGCCGCAGACGCCGCCGCCATCGTGGTCGTCGTCGTCGTCGATGTCGTCGTCGTCGTGGTCGTCGTCGCCGCCGCCGCCGCCGCCGTCGTAGTCGTCGTCGTGGTCGTCGTCGTCGCCGCCGCCGCCGCCGCCATTGTCGTCGTCGTCGTCGTCGTCGTCGTCGTCGCCGTCGTCGTCGCCGCCGTCGTCGTCGTCGTCGTCGCCGCCGCGAGAGCGCGGCGCCGTGCCGCGCAGGACGAGGCGGAGCGCCGGCCGCGACCGGAGGCGCAGCCGGGAGCGGCGGCGGAGCCGGAGCGCTATATGCGCCGGGTGCTGCCCTCGGGGGCGGCGCCGGGCGGGGCGGGGCTCGGGGGAGGGAGGAGAGGGCGGGCTCGAGAGGGGGGGCGCAGGCGCAGGGGGGGGGGACAGGCGCAGGGGGGGACAGGCCCCGAAGGGGGACGGGCTCGGGGGGGGGACAGGCGCAGGGTGGGGCGACAGGCGCAGGGAGGGGGGGAGAGGCGCAGGGGGGGGGGGCAGGCCCAGAAGGGGGGACAGGCGCAGGGGCGGCAGGCTCAGGGTGGGGCGTGGGGCAGGCTCAGGGGGAACGGGCTCAGGGCCGGGGGGGGGGGGGCGGCTATCGAAATCGAACGGGCGACGATGCAACATTCATTGATTTTCTTTCGGTGTTTGAAGGATTTTGGATTCTTGGGAGCCTCCTTGGAAGTCTCGGAGGCCTCTTGGAGCCGTCTTGGAGCGTTCTTGGAGCATTTTGAAAGCCATCTTGAGCCATATTCGGCTACCTTGAGCCATCTTGGAGATCATCTTGGGCTCCCTGAGGCGCTGCTGGAGCCGTCTTTGGCCATCTTAGACGCTCCATCTACCCGCGGAGCCCCCCTTCCAGGTCCAGGGGAGGGGATTGGGGGAGGGGTTACGCCCTCCCCGAGGGGGAAGACGGGGGTTGGAAGAGGAAGCTCCCTAGACCACCTACGCCCAGAGGGCTGGTGGGATTTACACCGGCGCGTGCGCGTAGAATTATTTTCTGGCGAGCAGTTCTAGACCCCCCAACAGAACCAGCCATGCAAGGGCGGCCTTTTGCCAAGTCCCCATTGGAGCCTTCCAAGACAGCTCGAATCAGACCCCAAACCAACCAGACCACACCACTTGTATTGTAAAGTCAGGAATAGCCTCGGCAAAGTATTTGGGAGTGTCCACTGCCCAATGTCGGTCGACCCAGAAACTCCGAGTCTGTCCAGCCCAGACCGCGTTTCGGTTAGCATCGACTTCCAAGGCTCACGAGCTGATAATCAGCACGCTTCTCATGTGACCCCCAGGTTCCTCGGGGTGTTCCTCCTTGGGGGGAGGGCTATGGGTGTGTGTGTGTGTGTGTTGTCAGATGGGGGTCCCCGCTCGAACAGGAGTCCCCCTCGGGATTCGACCACTCGAACCCGTACTTATACCGCCTTCATCGCCTTGCCCTTCCCCTCTCTTCCTTCCGATAGGTCTGAGCGTGCGCTGTTGTCTGGGCAAGCGAGGCGACCATTGAAGGGGCGAGATGAAGCGACACTGACAACTCTTGATGGCCATCTGTCGAGGCATGCTTCGCTATCAAGCCATGGGAGCCTTATCTGTCCCACTAGTATTGTCTTTAGGCTACACCCGCGTGCGCTAGCCTCTGGTAATCGATGAGAGCGCGTCGACGAGCGACGGCGAGGGTCGATTCAGCGTCGATGCAGCGTCGGATTAGCGTCGGCCGGCACCCGTCCTGGCTCCCAGTCGACTGGCGTCCCTGATCCCTTGCCAAGAAAAGCACGATTGGCCATACGCCATAAGGGGAGGAGATGCGCCAGATCCCTCCTCCCCGTTGGGCCCCCTTGTGCTTCTCCACGATAGCACTGTTTCATGATGGCATGGCACGTGTTGCCGCAGGACCATGCAGTGTGCCCTTCTCCCAGGGAAGGAAAACCACCCCGATCCCGACATACTGGGCAGCCTTGCCCTGTTCGATCCCCTCTTTGGGTGCGTTGACTAAGCCGCTTCGCTTGCCTGGGTTCTCTGATCTCTACTTCGGTGCCCCGCAGCACGGCGCCGCTGGCTCGGCCGGCCCTGCACCCCGCCAGCTCCCCCCTTGCCCAGGAGCAGCCGCAGCCAGCCCCGCAGGGGCGCCTCTGGTCGCCGCGGCGGCCAGGCGGGCGGCCGCCCGCCGCTCGCCCCCACCCTTCGCACAGAGGACTCCTCCTCCTCCTCCTCCTCCTCCTCCTCCTCCTCCTCCTCCTCCTCCTCTCCCTCTTGCTCATTATCCTTCTCCTCCTCCTCTTCTTCTTCCTCATTAGGGCGGACGGTTGAAGCCCAAGCAGGACGATGGCGAGGGATGCAGGGGAAGGCAAAAGAGAGCGGCCGCGGCGGCCGCGGGGGAGCACATTGCCCGTGCCAGCACTCCTCCTCTGCCCTGCCCTTTCACGTCCGGCGTACACGGTGCAGAGAAGCCTGCACAGCGGCCCTGCCCGAGCCAAGCTCGGTGCTCACCTCAAGTGGGTGGACACTGCCTTTGGCCCGTGCGAGAAATATTCTCCTCGAGAGATCGGAGAGATCTCACGGGCCCTGCACCGAAACGGGCACTGCCGCAAGCGGCGCGCGTGCATCTTTTTGTTGGTGTGGCGGGAGCGAGGGGAGTCATGCAAGCAGCAGGACGACGTTTCCCCGATCCCAGGCGTCTCCTGCCCGGATGTGCAGCACGCAATGCATCCTTCTAATTGGTGCGTCGTTGTAATTGGTATGGGTCGAGTGGATATATCGCCGAAGCGTCACTTGTAACCAATCCTCGTGGTTGTGAAGCTGGAGTCGCTGTTGGATGGTTAGCTCGTCGGAACGTGCCCAATCCATCGTCGCTAGCCCTCTGAAGTCGAAATGTGTTTGTCCTGATAAACACTTGACCCCGAGAGCCCCTGGGATCAGAGTGGGTTGTTTACCGAGTAAACGTCTGCGCACAAGTGGATGCCCTTGGTTCCGAAACAAACACGGGTAGCGTTTCCAGGCTACTTGGACAACGGCCTCACCCATGGTGTTACAGAGCTTCCTGGGGTAGATGTTTGCTTTGGCCGTGCTCCATTGACCATCGAGCTCCCAGCCTTGCTCCTCCTCCTCCTCCTCCTCCTCCTCCTCCTCCTCCTCCTCCCCCCCTTCTCCTTGTCCTCCTCCTCCTCCTCGTCCTCGTCTCCCTCCTCCCCCTCCTCGTCCTCGTCGTCGTTCTCCTCCACCTCTTCTTCCTTTCTCCTCCTCCTCCCCCTCGTCTTCTTTCTTTTAAGCAATGTACGCCCGCTGGTGCCCGAAACAAGTATCAATGTGTCCGCTTGCGCGTGGATTACTTTGCGGAGTTGGGGTCCTTGGCGCCGTCGGCCGAGCGAGCTGCGTCGCGGGACACTTTGGCGACACGGTTAGCCGCCACACAATCATTAGTTAAAAGGTGGATGTCCCTAAACATGTGGGTGGTTTCGTCTGACACATTTGCACTGGAAGACCTTTATCCCTGCTGCTTGTGGCCCTCCTAACGTAGGCCCCCTCCCAAAGGATTCGGGGTAGTGTTACCTGCTTTTCATTTTTTCCCGGGGGGGTACGTTGGCTTCGCACCATTCTTGACCCCCTTTCGTGGCATCCTTCGGGAGCGGGCCGACTCCAGGCACTGGCCTCCGCGAGGAGGCGAGGCGCCTCGTCAGGGTCGCGGCGGCCGAGCTGCAGCGGCATCACGGGCACCATAGCTTCGAGATGCCCAAATACAACAACAGGTGGGAGCAACACTCGTCCGCGAAGAAGCAGACGAAGCAGAGGGCAACGTGCCAAAGGTGCCGCCACTGGTAGTACGACGACCAGCTACCCAGGCTCGAGTGTCGCTGCAGCTGTGGAGCGCAGCTACCCAGGAAGGACAAGGACCGCTGGCACCACGAGCGCGACAAGGGCACCAGCAGCGTGACCAAGGCCCTTGGGGCGGTTTCGTCGCAGCTGCACGGCATGGCCGCGCAGCCCGAGGTTTCAAAGCAGCTGGCGACCGCCATGACCGCGGTGGCGGAGGCGACCAAGTCCAAGCAACCAGAGAAGAGTAATGCGAAGCAGTTGTCGCACGCGGTGTGGGTGTTCGAGCAGGCGACCGAGGCCTGCCACAACGCTTCCATCGCGAAGGGGGTCGCCAAGGCGAGGCTCGACGGAGCAGGACCTTGCTGACAAAGCGAGCGCGGTCGTGGTGGCCGAGCTCAAGGTGCAAAGCACAAAGCAGGGGAACTGGCACGACGCCAGGAAGACCACGCTGCTCAACGACGCCCTCAACCTCCCCACGGACGCGGGCGCGCTCGAGGAGGGCAAGAGGATTTAGACGAGTCCCGAGCCATCAACAAGGAGGAGCTCGACGAGTAGGCGGTGGCGGAGGTAACGACGGGCAAAGCCCAGATTCGTAGGGAGCTCAAGGGCAGGACGTCGGAGTTCGCGACGGAGCTCCACACTCGGCCCGACACCGCCAAGCATATAGCAGCAACGGACGCGGAAACCTGCGTGCGGCCGGCCAAGAAAAAGGGCCGGCACGGGATCCAAGTCTGCGGCGCCAACCCCCAGCGCCAGCCCCCAGCGCCAGCGGCAAGGGGCCCCGCCGCCAGCCTAGCAGCGGAAGCCCCGCCGCAAGCCAAGCAACTTGCAGCGCCAGCGGCAGGGGGGCCCCCTGGCCGAAGGGGCGCCGCACGCGCCAGACGCAGTTCGGGCCAGGAAGCGATGGCCGAGGGAGCATCCCGTGATCAGGGACTTTCAATCCAGCTCTGGGAGGCGCTGGGGTCTCGCGGGCAGGGCCGTGTCCGCTGCAATTCGAGAAGCGCAATCTAGCGCGGCGATTCCTTGTCTGCCACCGAGGTCCAGGGCCCCTAGGGCAGTGGTGCCCCCCTTGCGCTGCACTTCGCCCGGGGTTCCGGGGGCGCCGCTCGCCTGGCCCGCCTGGGCGACCCGGGAGGCAAGCCCTTTCGAACAGCTCGAGGATCTTGACGGCCCCGAAAAGTTGTTGGAGCAGTTGGGGCCATGAGAGCCCGCCCAAGACCAAGCCGAGTCTCATGGGTAACGCGCGAGCCAGGACGGCCATTCTCCCCTCCTTTGCGCTTCGGTGAACGCCCCCGCCACCGCGTCGCGCCCGTCTGTGGCTGAGGCCGTTCTCCAGCGCGCTGCCTCGCCAGGCGCGCCCGATGGGGGGCCGCCCGAGTTCGGCGGGGGCCTTCGGCTTGAAGTTTCTGCTTTAGCGCGCCGGTGAGTGCCGAGGTGCCCATCCACGCAGCGCAGGGCTTGTTTTTCCTGGTGGGCCCTGAGGTTTCGGAGGCTCTAGGCAAGCAGCGCGGCAGTCTGGCTAGGCACGCGGCGGCGTTCTACGCGCGGCGCGCGTCGCCCCAGAGCATTGCAATGCTCTCAGGCTGGTCCGGCCATAGTGGGGTCGAAGACCCATGCTATCAAAAAAAGGCTTCACAAGGCCCCGTGTCCAGAGTTCCGCAGTTGGCTGGCAGGCGAGGGTCGCCGACGCCCTCAGCGCGCCTTGCGCGCTGGCTGCCAACGCGCGCAAGGGCCCGGCAGCAGAGGGGGCTTCGCAACACCCCCTACAGGCCATCATGGCCTTCCGCGGCGGGCGGGAAGCCGTCGAGGGGGGCGCAGCTACGCAGATCGCCGCGGGCGAGGAGGCCTGCGGACATCGGTGAAGCAAAGCAACAGACCCTGCGCGGCACGGCCGCCCAGGCGCCCGAGGAAACGCGGGGGGGGTGCGCGGGGGGGCCCGCGGACGTCATTTTGACATTGAGTTCCGCGCGTGGGCCGATCGCGCTGCTTGCCCCATCAACGCCGCCCCTGAGGGGCTGCGCTGAGCAACGAACCCCCCCCTCGATATGAAAACTGCTCCGCCTCGGCCCGGGGCGAAGCCACCTCGCCGGGTGAAGCCGCGTCGCTGCGTGTAGGAGCGGATGCCAACACTCATACATTGAAACAAAATCGATCGTCAAAGTCCGTCGCGCATTCCATGACAGAGTTGGCCCGGGTTAAGGAGCGGGCTTGCTTTGAGCCGTGCTCTTGCTGGCTCCTGGAACAATTTGACCAGGCCCTCAGCCTCCGGCCCGACAGGGGCAGGTGCGTCGACGAATCAGTTTCTTCCGATGCGCGCGCCAGCCCACCCTTGGGCGTCGGGCGCCCGCGGGCCCGCTAGATTGTGCCAGTGGGCGAAAGGCGTGACCTTGTCAATTTCTGGCCCTCGCCATATTGAGTTCGAAGAAGGCAGGAAAGAGGCACTTGCGCCCTTCGCTTGGCCCATGCGACGCACGCGCGCGTTCTCGAGACCGGCGGCGGATGAGCGGGTCGACAGCGTAGCTCAGAATTGGGGCTCCGCAGCGAAGGGGCCCGCGCACTCACGAAAGGCGCCTGCGAGAGCGCTGCAGGGCGAGGCTGCCGATGCGCTAGCGACGACTGGCGCCGCGAGCATCGCCGACGTCGAGAGGTGCCGCGACTCGCCCAGGATCGATTCCGGCGGCCCAAACTTGCGGGCGCCTGGAATTCCCCAAGGGGGCCCTCACGCTGGAGCTGCAGGCGAGGCTCGCGCCCTGGATGCCCGCCAGCAGGGGGCGCTGGAGTCGCTCGCCAAGGTCGCGCCCAGGCCAGCGCCCGGGTCAGGCGTCGACGGCGTCGGCGATTCAGTCTACGGCAGCCCGCAGGCGGTGGAGGATCGCTCTTGCTCGTCAACGTTTGGTCCAGTCAGCGAGCTCGCCCAGGAGGGGTGGAAGCTCGCGCGCAAGCTCGCGCGCAGGAGCGCCATCGCAGCGCGAACCTGAGTCGAACAGAGCAACTTATTTACATGCTCGTCGAAGTCGCATCGTTAACAGACGCCAGATATTCGGGCATCGGCAGGGCGCCCCCGGAGCATTGCCCAGCGCGGCGCACGAAGTGCTGGGCGGGGGGCGGTTGCGACGCGCGCGGCCACCTGATAATGTTGAGCAGACGACGGCGAGAGGAGGGAGTTCTTCTTCGAGTCAAGGCGGGATGGCCGCGCCGCTGCGCGGCGCGAGAGGACGCGGAAAACCACCCGCGGCCATCGCGCAGGCCGGGGAGGGAGGTGCGCAGCAGCGTTTGCAAGAGACGCTGCGCATTGAGGGGCCCAGCACTGGAGACCCCGATGGCACAACCTCGAGCATGGCTTGATTTATGCGCGCGTAGATCCGACCCCAGACAGACGACTGATAGAACGCAGGGGCCGACTCAAGGCAGACGGTGGCAAATAGCGGGAGTCATGGGCTCACTCATCCCCGCCAGCGCCGGCCAGGCCGGCCGACCTCCGAGGCGACGATTGGGGGGTGGCCGAAGATGCCGCCGAGAAGGGCCCAGTCACGTTCATCCAGGCCATCGTCGAGGACATTGATTTGCTGCCGTGGGGCAGTGCGGCGGGCCACTAAAATGGGAAAGGCAGCGGGCGCGGGGGCGGCGCCGGCGACCTCGCCGCGCGGGAGTCGCGGATCCGCGGGCTCCACGCTGGGCGCGTGGACACCAACCATAAACCGCGCGGCTCTGCGCCTGCGTTGCGATGCCGGGCGGCTCCCATGGGATTGCGGGGTTCGCGCCCGGACAGAGAGCAGCGCCCAACGTTCGAGAAGTCGAAGCGCCCTATCGAGATGGCCAAGGCGGGCGTGGATAGCAACAACTGCTTCTGGCTGCGCGGCCCTCCCCCCGCAGAATGGGCGACGCCGCCGCTGTGCGAGGCGGCGTGCGCGGAGGTAATTTTTGGAGCGCTGGTGATTGCGTGACCAGGTGCTTGTGATGCGCGGCGACGGCAGTTCGGGCGCGGGATCGAATGGCGCCGGGTTCCGCAGGTGCGTTCGGAGCTGTGTCGCGTCACCGGAACAGCCCCTCCCGCCCACGCGAGGAGAGGCATGTTCGCCGCTCGACGGCCAGAGGCAGACGAGCATCAGAGCGAAGCTCAAGGCATGCACCCCGTCGATGTCGAACCACCAGGGGGAGCGTAAGATCCTGAACAGAATCGGAAGTTATGTTCAAAGGCTGGGCCCACGGGCGTCATCGCACACCTGCAGGTCGGAGTACGATCGGAGGATTGTGGTATAGCGAAAACCATGCCAAAAACACGTTGCTTGCCTCCCGGGTGTCCTGTGCTTCTTGGGTGTCGATGGTTTTGTTGTGACAAGCGTGAGGTCCCCACGCAGCTGATCGATCGACGCCCTGGAGTCTCAGGGTTAGGTCTCTTGTGGAAGATTTTCTTGTGGACTGGCCTCTTTGTGGGTTGGCCTCCCTCGAAAGCGAGACCACGCTGATATCAGGCGGCTGGGACACTCGCACGACCTGGCGAGGCCGAGGCGAGAAACATTCCATTCGACACGTGGCGTGGCTCCGAGGCTGCTCGATCGGCCAATTTTCCGCTGCAGCTACCATGGGCAGGACGGGGGGAAAGGACGATTGGGAGATCCTCCTCCCCCTCCTCCTCCTCCTCCTCCTCCTCCTCCTCCTCCTCCTCCTCATCATCATCATCATCATCATCATCATCAGCATCATCATCCTGATGGTAGTGGTGGTCGGGAATCGGCCCATCACTGTTGGCGGAATTGCAGCCAAGGGGGCAGAACCGCATCAGGTATCGCCCTAGCGCCTCTCTTGCTACAAGTGGGCCGTCGCCTCTTCCGCCGTAGCTAGGAACCGCATAAGTCGTGCCATTCTCTGTGTTCTTGTGTCAGAAAGTGCGGAGCCGTCGGCGAGACATGTGGGCAGGGCGGAGCAACGAGCTCCCCTTGATGTTTGCGCGGGGGCCCAAGCGGGCTTCAATGGCAAACCCGAACTGCAAAAGACAAGATGGGGCTTTTCAGATTGTTGCAGTTCGGCTCGTAAGCTTCCGCGCAGAGGGGTGCCAAGCGAGTGGCGTTCGAATCTGCTCCGTGGGCCGCCTTCCCCCCCCAGTCTCACACGGCTCAGGTCGATGGCGGGACAAGGCGCGGACACCCACAACACGAGCGTGCTGTTTTCTATGAGCCCTGTGGGGTTTTTGAGTTCTGCGGGTGCTGGACTCCGGGGGGCACAGGGCGCTTCAGAGGTGTTCCAGCAGAGTGCAAGCGTCGCGACGCAGAGCCCCCACCGAAATCGGGTCGCAGGTCCTCTCTTCAGAGATTTTGCCGGGAGGCCCTTCGGACGCAGACGCAGTCCTCCCGACCCCCCCCCCCCCGCTTCAGCCTCGAGTGCGTCGGTTGGGGGAAATTTTTGGGAGGGCTGGCGCGTGGAGGGCGCGAGCTTCGCCACGCCGGCGGCGCGTCCGCGGCCCTACGAGCAGTGCGCGCGCGCACCGCGCGTCGAGTCGCGGAGGGCCCCGGGGGCCAGGCGGAGGGTCGGAGCTGTCTGGGGGTCTGAGGTGGCGCAGCAGAGGTTCCGGCCAGCAGGAAGGGCGGGCAGGTTTTCGGGGGCGGCAAAGAGGGGGGGTGATGATTAGGGGGGGAGGGATTTCATGGCGGTTCCATGCGATCTCCTCGGATGTCATGGCGCTTCTCCGTGTGTTAATGCGCCCCCCCGGGCCGCGCACGCGCCGCCGGCCATGGTTTGCGCCCCCCCCCCCTTTTGGACGCCCCCCTCTTGGCCGCCTGGGTTTCGGGAGGGCTTCCTGCCCCCAGGCAGGGCAGGTCCAAGGGGGTGGGGTAGCTATGGGTCAGGAGGGAAAGAAACACTCAGACACAATTAATCGTCGATCCCCCAGAAACGATGGGAAAATATGGGAAGTGGGGGGGAAGACAGAAACCCAGAAACCCAGTGTGTGTATTTATTTGTGTGTCCTTGGTCCCCTTGAAAGGGGTCCTTCCCCCTTTGGGGGTGCGCCACGGGCGCGGACTCTCTCTCATTTCTATTGTGAAGGCCTGACGGCTGGCACCGCCGACCGAGAAGCACGACGACGACCGCCGCCACCACGACGACAACGACAACGACGAGCTGATGACCCTGCCACAGGCTCGGGACAAGGTGCGGGCGGTGGAGGGAGGAGGAGGAGGAGGAGGAGGAGGAGGAGGAGGAGGAGGAGGAGGAGGAGCAGGAGCAGGAGCAGGAGGAGGAGCAGGAGGAGGAGGAGGAGCAGGAGGAGGAGGAGGAGGAGGAGGAGGAGCAGGAGGACGAGGAGGAGCAGGAGCAGGAGGATCAGGAGGAGCAGGAGCAGGAGGAGCAGGAGGAGCAGGAGGAGGAGGAGGAGGAGCAGGAGGAGGAGGACGGGGCTTGTGTCCATTGGTTTGCGTGCCCCTGGGCCCCTTCCGGCATGGCGGAGCAGCGCAGCTGCTGCGCCCCGTGCCCTCGGCGCCGTGGCCTCTGGCCGGCGGCGCGCCCGCGCAGGCCGCCGCGGCGGCCCCCCGGGCGCGGCCCGCCGAGGCGAGCAGCCCGGCCAGGCCGCCGCGGGAACCCCCGCCGCCGGAGCCCAAGGATCGCCCGCCGCAGGCCAGGGGAGGCTCGGGCCGGGCGAAAGGGGGGGATTGGGAAAGGGGGGGTTACGAAATTTGCTGCATGCAGCTGGTTTCGGCCTCACCGAGGGGCCCATTCCTCGACACATGGCTGCTTCCAGCGCCGGGAGGCGCCGGGAAAATCAGCTACGCGAGCTGATTCTCACCCCCCCCCTTTGCTATCCCCCCTTTTCGCCCGACCCGAGAGGCGAAGTTATCTCCCGAAGAAAAAAACAAAAACATGAACATACCCATCGGTCGTCGAAAGTAGGTATTTTTGGATTCCCAGATTCCAGTCTACTTGAAAAGCGCCTTCCTACTTCAGTGATCGAGTGGCTTCACCTTTTCCGTCCCTCTTAGGGGGCGGGCGGAACCCAATCTATGTTCAACGCCTTCCTACTTCATGTTTCTACCTACGTATTCCGACCGATGGGTAAACTTGTGGCGCTCCGCGCGGATTTCTTGGATCCGCGCTGGATGCCCCCCGGCGGCGCCTCTGGCGCCGCCCCTGGCGCGCTCCGCGCGCCAGGCAGGGGAATCCAGCGCGGATCCAAGAAATCCGCTCGGAGCGCCAGCAGTTTCTGTTTATGCTTTTTTGCTCTAACTTCGGGAGCCTTGAGACGGGGGTCAATGCAAACGTGGGTCAGCCAAAGCGCCGGATCTTGCAGGATCTTGCAGAGCCAGGGTCGCTTTGACTCGGGCTTGGTTGCAGGATCCTGCAGGATCCTGCAACGCCTGACTGACCCAGGTTTGGATTGACCCGGGCAAGTGGATCCCCGATCCCCTTTAAGACCTGAGAGTTGATTATCCCGTCCCAAGGCAAAGTTGGTCGGGGGCCGAGAGTCTCGTGGCCGTGACTGTCCGTACATACGGCGAGTTCCAAGGCCGACATCCCATCCCTGACTCCGTACATACGAATTGCGGGACGAGAAGTTGATTACCCCTCCCGAGCCCCGAACTTCATTATATACCCCGGGTGTGTCGGTTCTTGACACCGCTGCCTTTTCCTCGGTTTCTGCGTTGTTGAGCTTCCCGGGAGGCCCTCGCCGCGACCGCTGGACTCGCCTCGGAATCCCGGTTCGAGAGCGCACCCCAGGGAGAGGTCCAGGGAGCAGCGGCAGCGGCACTCCTGGGTTCGCCCGGCAGCCCAGCAGGCAGGGGGTGCGAGGGAGAGCCCCGAGATCCGACGCTCCGAACAAGCATTGGAGCGGAGGCCTCCTCCTCCTCCTCGTCCTCCTCCTCCTCCCTCCTCCCTCCTCCTCCCTCCTCCTCCCTCCTCCTCCCCCTCCTCCTCCTCCTCCCCCTCCTCGGCCCCCGAGCCCGGTGCGCCGTTATATGTCTTCCCCCCCCCCTCGCCGGGCCGCGGGGCCGTCCAGAGGCGGCGCGGGGCGGAAAGATAACGGGCCCTGCATGGGGGGGGGGGCTGTGCAGACCTCCGGGGGGGGCCCACGCATCGCAGAATCTGGAGCCGCCGGATGTCTGGGGAGGTCTGGGATCGGGGGGAGGAGGAGGTGTGAGGAGGAGGAGGAGGAGGAGGGAGGAGGGAGGAGGGAGGAGGGAGGGAGGGAGGGAGGGGGAGGGAGGGAGGAGGAGGGAGGGGGAGGGAGGGGAGGAGGGGAGGGAGGGAGGAGGGAGGGAGGGAGGAGGGAGGGAGGGGGAGGGAGGGAGGAGGGAGGGGAGGGAGGGAGGGAGGGAGGGAGGAGGAGGGAGGGAGGGAGGGAGGGAGGGAGGGGAGGGAGGGGGGGGAGGGAGGGAGGGAGGGAGGAGGAGGAGGGAGGGAGGAGGAGGGAGGAGGAGGAGGAGGAGGAGGAGGGAGGAGGAGGAGGAGGAGGAGGAGGAGGAGGAGGAGGAGGAGGGAGGAGGAGGAGGAGGAGGGAGGAGGAGGGAGGAGGAGGGCGGAGGAGGAGGGCGGAGGAGGAGGGCGGAGGAGGAGGGCGGAGGAGGAGGAGGAGGAGGAGGAGGAGGAGGAGGAATGCCATGCGGCGCGGAGGGCGGCGAACTCCGCAGCCTGCGCACTAGTCCCCCAGGAGCCCGCGGGCGGCATGCGCGGGTGGGCGTCCGACGCGGAGCCGGAGGAGAAGCGGGCGGGCGAGCCGCGTGTCCGCCGCGGGGAGGGAGGTGAGGATCGTACCGACCCGAAGCACTCTCTTTGCGAAAACCAGGGCTCGAGCCAAACGGTGTTCTGGCGATGCCGCGGACCGCTTGCGTTTCTATATTTCGACCCGCACCAGAGGCGGATCGGAGACGGAACGAGAGAGAACGAGAACAGCACGAAAGCGGGAAACATGGTTTGGCTCGAGCCTTTGTGAAACCATCACGGCGGAGGGTCGTTGCTCGTGTTCTCGACGAAGAGCCAGGAGCGGCCAGCACAACAATACGTGTTCGACGCTCCGCGAGGATTCCTTGGATCGGCGCTGGGGCCCCCTGGCGGCGCCTCTGACGCCGGCCCTGGCGCGCTCCGCGCGCCAGGGAGGAGGGACCAGCGCGGATCCAAGGAGTCCGCACCGACCTCCGAAAGTTTGTGGTATGCTCATGCAGTGTTTTGTTCTTCGACGGTCAGCCTCTAGGAATCCTCACTGGGCCGCGGGATCGTCAAGAAGCGGCTCCAGATGCAAGGACGGTATTGGTGAAGGGGTCCAGACCTTTGGGAAGCCACGCTGCGGACCAGAGCAGAGAGGGGGCAGTGAGAGGGTGTCCGAGGGGAAGTGAGAGGGGGATGGCCTTCTGAGAAGGCGGCGGGGCTTCTCAGAAGCCCTCCGTCCTTCCGAGAGGCCTTCTGCTCTGCTGTCCAGGAGAAGGCTCAGAGAGCTTCTCAGAATGGCGGTGGCCTTCCAGACAGGCTGGTTTCTCGCCATTCAGCTATGCAGACAGCCGGCCGATCACATAGATGTACTTGACCAGCAACATTCGAAAAGGAGGAGTAGTAGCATCCTCCTGGCAGTAGTACATGGTATATCTAAGAAAGAGCCGTCCGCGAAGGCCCGCCCCCTCTGCCTTCCCCCATTGGGCGCGCCGCCGCGTCGAGGATTGGGGTGAAGAGTCGTCCCAGACCCCCTGCGCCGTGACGCCATTGTAGGACGGCGGCCTTGGGAAATCTTACGTTGCATCTTCGGGGGGCTCGTCTGTCCTCCAAATTGGGTGCCTTTTCTCGTGCCCGGCGCGGGCTCGATGCGGGCTCGGCGCGGACCCGGCGTGGATTCGACGCGCGCTCGGCACGGCTTCGACACGGAGCCGACGAGGCCGACATGGACTCGGCACGGCTTCGACGCGGACGGGGGGCGCGACGGGGCGGGCAGAACCTCCCGAAGATGCAACATGAGGAAGCGTTCGAGACCACCCGAGGCCCGTCTCCCAAATACTCCAGATTTCGTAATAAAGGGAGGGGGATCTCATTTCGGGGGGGGGTCTCATCCAGGCTATCTTGGAGGGCCTGGGGGGGTCTGGGGACGGTGTTTTGGAGGGTTCTCCCACGGGGGGGGGGTCTGAAATGGCCTGTCCTGGAGGGTCCAGACCCCCCCCTTTTATTACGAAATCTGGAGTATCGCGTCTGGGGATTGGGTTGTGGAGGACGATCGATGGAGAGGAAGCATGTTGCCAAATCATTTCCAGGTGTCTAAAGCATGTGACCGCACATGCTTTAGATATGTAGAACAAAAACATGTCTAAAACATGGTTAGAGCGTCTTTCCTACATTTTGGATACATGTTTCATTCGATGATAGAGCTGGTAGGGTGTCCATTGTCGTGGCATCCACAAGGATTGGGGTGGAGGGCGGAGTTGCCCGGCCACATAAAGAGACTCCCTCCCTTCGATCCCCTCGAGCCGATGTCGATCCCGGCCGGCTCCCTCCGATCCGATATACCAATTTCCCAGCGATCCGATGCGGTCCAGTGCTCGCATGGCGCTGTTGTGCATTCTGGCGCACCTGATTTGCGATTCGAGCCCGATTCTGTGCCGATGCGGTCCAATGCGAAGCTTGTTCCGGTCCGACTCTATGAATCAATTCATTACGGTCCGGGCGCCCCTGGAGGCCACCTCGAGCTTTCATGGCGCCACCTCGAGGGGTGCTTGTTTTGTGCTGCCTTGAGGCTCCTGGGGTCTGCGGATGGGACCCACTGGGGGATGGTCCCACTGGGAGATCCTCAGGGCATGCTGGCTGCTGTCCAGGAACGCCGCGCCATCTTTCGCACGAGATGGCAAGCGGCGCAAGCATGAAGCACACACTTTCGCAGGTCTGCGCGCGTTTTCGAATCTTCGCTGGACCCCCCTCCCTCGCGTGCGGAGCGCGCCCAGGGCTGCGCCGGTGGCTCCGCGAGGGGCGCCCAGCGCCGATCCAACAGCTCCGGGTGGGCTTCCGACAGTTTATGTCTGCACCGTCTTGTGATGGGACGGCCTTACGACCGGTGCCGCAAGCCCTGAAAGGGGAGGACGACAACGGCGGCGAGGGCGTCGGCGGCGGCGACGCGGCGACGACGACGTCGACGACGACGACGTCGACGACGTCGACGACGACGACGACAACGTCTTCCACGCGCCAAAGGGTCGGCGGATTTTTCCAGTTTTGGGGTGGCGATGTGCCGTCAGGGGAGGGCAGTGCGGGAGGAGACGCAGGGAGGAGGAGGAGGAGGAGGAGGAGGAGGAGGAGGAGGGAGGAG